CCCTTCCACAATTACTCAATATGAATATACTCTCCCTCTTCCCCTGATGGCGTCCGGGTGATGGCCGCGCACCCTCCGCGTATTGTTTTTTACACACAGGATGCCCGGGAAATCCCGGGAAACGACTCTCGCTGAGGCGCCGGCGTCATTTTTTCCCAAAATGCTGCTCTCGCGCCGGCGTCATTTTTCCAAAATGCTGCTCTCGTTGAGGCGCCCCCGAATCCTTCCCCTGATGGCGTCCGGGTGATAGCCGCGCATCCTCCGCGTATTGTTTTTTTACACACAGGATGCCCGGGAAATCCCGGGAAACGACTCTCGCTGAGGCGCCGGCGTCATTTTTTCCCAAAATGCTGCTCTCGTTGAGGCGCCGGCCTCATTTCTGCTCCAGAATCGTTCCGAATCGTGCTCCCGCTGCAGCGTGGGCCTCATTTCACCGCGCCGCCCCGCCACCACCACCACCACCACCACCACCCACCACCACCACCACCACCACCACCACCACCACCACACCCGCACCAGCACCAGTACCAACACCACCACCACCAAGCACCACCACACCACCACCACCACCACCACCACCACCACCACCACCACCACCACCACCACCACCACCACACACCACCACCACTACCACCACCACCACCACCACCACCACCACGACAACCACGCACACACGCGCGCACGCACGCACGTGCACCACCACCCACTACGCACGCGCGCGCGGAGCCAAAGGTCCGCTACGACACGCGTCCGCGGATAGAGAAAATCAGCGCCATGGTAAGGAATGGGAGGGAGGGGTAGGACGTCAGACATGACGCGAGCGCACCTAGCTTGGCTCCTCCCCCTCCCCCCTACCCCCTTCCCTCCTCCCCCTCCCCATCCCCTCCCCCCTCCCCCCCCCCCCTCCACCCTCCCCCTCCCCCCTCCTCCTCCCTCTCCTCCTCCTCTCCTCCTCCTCCTCCTCCTCCTCCTCCCCCTCCTCCTCCCTCCTCCTCCTCCTCCTCCTCTTCCTCCTCCTCCTCCTCCTCCTCCTCCTCCTCCTCCTCCTAAGCCCTTCCTGCTCAGGCCAGGGGGAATTGGGGCTCCCTGTCAGGATTCGATGCAGGCTACACCCCTACCGCCTGAAGCCCCAGCTCCCGCCCACCATGTGGGCCTCTCTCCTACAAACAGTACTCTATAATCCACTCTCTCTTAGCGACACATGGCGAGCACACGATGTTTCTACTCGCTTGAGCTTCGCAGACCTGATACTGTTGCCAGGGACACAGCAGCGGCGCCGCGCAGGAGACCCCCCGACAAAGATGAAGCTTGAGAAGCACATGATGGTGCAGTTCGGGTGGCAGCGGGGGAGGTACACAAATAAGAGCGCGGGCTGCGCTATCATGCTCAGACGAAGGGCCTTCAGGGAGGCCCACGTTCATGAAGTACTGGAGCCACCTCGAGAACTGGCGGGGCGGGGAGGGGCAGTTCGACTCAAGAGTCCGACCTTCGACATTATGGTTGTGGTGGCCTACTACCCGCCCCCGCAGAGACACCAGATCGACCACTGGAACACGACATGTGCCAAGCTCACGGCGTGGCTTCATCGGACGATACAGCGAGCCCGAGCACGCTGCATGATAGTGGTGGGAGCTGATACGAACTCCGAGTTCGGTCGACGCAGTGGGCCCAACGGCACCCCGACGACGACGCGCGACGACGTGCACGTCGGCCCGTTCGCCAACAGCTACGAGAACGGGGTGAGTGCCGCACTGTGGCGCATGATGAGCATGGAAGGCTTGGCTGCGATAGACACCTTTTATGACACGGGGCCAACTTACTTCGGGGCCGAAGCTCACATCACCTCGCACCCTGACCACCTATGGGGACCGTGCGACGCTGTGCAGGCGACCAGATCGTGTGTATGTCTTAGACGAGCGATGCGTGATCTACAACGTATACCTTCACCTTTACTTCGAGACCATTGTCCCATGTTGTGGAGAGTACACTACAGGCTGCAGACCGCACCTCATCCTGATGGACGGCGCCTTCGGTGGGACAGAGACCTCATGGGACAAGCTCTGAACCGGCGAGGCGCCCCAGAGTTCATCGCAGAGCTGGAGAGACGATGCGAGAGTTCGGCGAGAGCGTGGCGAAGTTTTATTAGAGCAGAAGACCCCTCACTTTCTTGGTTTCACTTGGTGGCGGACGTCACGGAGGCAGCACAGACAGAATTCATTGAGACCAAGACGAGGGGGCAGTCTGCTGCATATCGAGAAGAGCGAGATCGACTTCTGGCAATGAGGCGTCAGCTCAGTGTTTACTTTCGGGAAGAGGATCGACTTAGACTTCGGGCTTGCGATCGTGAGATCAAGCGTGCACGCAGCAGGCTGGACAGAGAGAATGTCGAGGCGCTGCTGAAGGAGGCACAAGTGGCCTCTGACCGTGGCCATGCCAGCACAGTTTGGAAGCTCGCCTTTCAGATCGGGGCGCGTTATCACGGGGTGCGGAGACGACGCTTCAACCTGATCCCTACATACGCCCCGACGTTGCAAGAGTGGCAGGACACGCTGGAGTCCGACGCTAAGGAGGGGGGCTTCTCTGCTGTTCGTCTACGCGGACCAGGCATTCCTCGCAGCGTGGCACTGGCTTCGAGAGAGATTGAGGACCCAGATGGGGAGTGGAAAGATTTGCGAGGACGACCTGGATCGGCCGCCTACGACGACTGGACGAACACGCTGCAGTGTCTTGAGAAGGCGGCCAGGCGCAGGTATTCCCCCCCGCACTCCGCCCCCAGCGAGGTGTGACTCATGGCGATGAGGGCTGCTACTCGAGAAGCGAGGGGCGAACCAGCTGATGAAGATCCTCACGAGAGAAGGCAGCGAGTTCAGGTCCCTTGTCCACGACTTGCTGAGCGCATCTTTGAGATCCTGAGGCAGATTCGGAATACGTGTCGCACACCCTACCAGTGGCACTGGTCAAAAACGTTCCAGTTGAGCAAGGGCAATGACAAGAGGGGCACCAAGGCGATGAGACCCATACACTGCTACTGCCCGTTCGGCAAAGCTTGGTACAGAGGCATATTTGTTCGACACGAGCGCTCAAGACTTCCATTACACGCACATGGATATGCAGCGCACAGGTCGAGGCAGAACGCGCAGCTGGTTGCTAAACTTCACTCGTGGAGATTACGAAAGAAGCTCGTCTCCCACCTGCAGATCAGAAAAGACATGAGCAACGCGTTCCCTTCGACAGATCACGACATCCTGGAGCAGGTGATTGGGGAAGTGATCCCCGACATGCAGGACCAACTCTTCTTGCACCAGAGGATTCGTGAGGCGGTCATCGAGGTTGAGGCAGGAGAAGAGAGGGGCTTCTTCCAACCCACCCACGGCACGGGCATGGGCGACGGCAATGCGTGTGAGCTGTTCGTGCGGTCGTTTGTCAAGCCGCTGGAGGTGTGGAACCAGATCCTCTTGCAGGGCACCCAGGCCACCTTAGATACGGAGAGCGGCGGCTCCGTGCCGATGATGGAGGCGGCGACGCCGATTGACTCGCCCATCCACTCCGAGCAGATCGACATCTCCATGCGCGACTACGCCGATGACGTATCGCAGACCCTGCCGCTGCCGAATGGCAACCCCGTCCACGCAGCGGAGAGGGCAAAATTGTCGTTTCGTATCTTGTCAGATCAGCTCGAGGAGATAGGAGGGTTTACTCAGAATGTTGACAAGGAGATCATCCTCCCAGTCTTTGTGGGCCCAGGAGGATACACGGCCACGAGGGCCGTGCTCTCAGGACTCGTCCAGTTCCCAGGGCAAACTCGAGCTGAAACCGTATACCTCGGAGGACTTGAGCATTTGACGGGTGGTTCGGGGGCGGAAGTAAAACTTCGTGTCGACGCTACGCGCTCTGCCTGGACCAAGCTCGGGAGGTTCTGGAACCAGCACTCGTCTTTGAAGCTTAAGAGGATGGCTTTCTTAGGAATTATCCACAGTGCGGCCTACTCGGGCCTCGAGGTCTATATCCTAGGTAAGAAAGACTATGCCAAGCTTGACTCGGTGATCTTGGGATTCGCGAAGGTGGCGATGAGGGGCGTTGCCGAGAGAGTAGGGCCAGAGGGAGATAGGATTCGGACACCTTCGGCGAGAGTC